TCACACTGCAAGGGACACCAGAGAAGATGTCCAAAGGGAGATGGAAAGAGGACACATGGCTCAGAGATAATACCTCATCTTCAGAGACTGAGCACCTAACTGACTTGTTTCTACTCCAAATGGATAATACAGACATGGCAATGGGGGTCGGGGAAGGACCTCCAGATCCCTGAATCTTTTGTACATTGTTTCCTTTGAATTTTTTTTTAACTTTTTTTTTTTTAATGATGAGAAGAGTGTGTAGAAGAGATGCACCACCTTCTCTGCAAATATATTTTGGAAAACAGCTGGGCTCCTGGCCTGTGTCTGGGGATCTCTCTGCACCTTCCACCCACCTTGTCGTCATAGCTTATGTGCATCACTCTAGCCTTGTCCTAGGGGGCTAGAGCTGGGTGGCAGGACCCTGATAAGAACTGGGTGTATCCTGGCCCCATGATGGGTGGTGGTAGTGAGCAATGGGGTCTAAAACCCCTTCTCCAAGATGAATCCTGGGGACACCAGATTATGTTTAAGTGGAGCAAGCTGGATTTAGTTTAGATGTGAGGGATAGCAGAGTGGCTTAATGAACAGAGGGCCTTACAGTCAGGAAAACCTGCCATCAAGTGGCACTCGACACATACGAGCTATGCTACCTTGGGCTCTAAACTCTCAAGTGCTTCAGGCAACTCTCGGAGACTATAAATTAGAGTCGAGTTGCTAAACAGCAAAGGTGTAGGAAGTTTCCACACGGGAGTTCCCTATGCTGATGAAATCACAGGCTTGGACCAATAAATACATAAACAAACAGAAATAGTACCATTGAAGCTCCAGGATGGGAAATTCCTTCTCTGGAGGTCTCCAAGCATAGGAGAACTTTGTGAACTTGGGGGAGGGGCCATCAGATATGATGGGAAGGAAACCAACCGACCTCTGCCAACTCTCTGTTTTTAGATAAGGATTCCAAACTCCTGGTAGAAAGGGGTGTGTGTCTGTGTGTTTTTGAGTGGGACCAAGTGAGTGTGTTTGTGTTCTGGGGAGGGACTGAGACGGAAAAGGACAGATAGTTACATTCAGCTTTCTGGGCATCGATTTTCCCCTCCTCCTTCCTTCCCTTCTTTCCTTCCTTTTCCTTTCTGTTCCTTCTAGACGAATATCTTCCTAAGCTGAGAAGACACCTCAAGCTAGGTATACCGCAGAGGGGAAAGAGTAGCAGCGTCACTTTATTGCCAACAATTGGTCTTTTCCCTAGAGTAGCGGGATGTGTTGTTTGTGTGTGGGAAATCAATCAGAAGTCTGGTGGCATCTCATTGGCATTGCCAGGCGATGGAGGGTACAGGCATCTTTGAGGCACCATGTATGTGCGTGCGTGCGTGTGTGTGTGTGTACATGCATTTGTAGATTTGAAGTTTCTATGAAACACTGGGCGTGGGGATGGCAGTGATGGGGGGGGCATTTCTCCCCCCTACTCTGAGCTTGGGTTGAACCGTCCCCTCTCTAGAGAGATGGCAGCCAGGCTTGTACCTGGAATCTCTGAAGCTCTTGCCCTCTGGCTTCACCAAGAAGTGGCTGGGAGGCTGGGATCTCTCAGCACAGAGGGGGTGGGGAGAGAGGTTGATAAGACCAAGAGTGTTGTTGGGGGTGAACCGATGCTTGGTCAGTGAGATGGGCTCTCTCATCCTAATCTCCAATGAGGAAGGATTTTGCTAAGATGGAGAGGACCCCAATATGGGAGAGGCACCCAGGACAGAGGGGTATAGGGAAGGAGCCCTGGCCCAGGAGGGAACTGGAGACCTTGCAGGGTCACAGGATGACACAAGGGGGGCGGCTATTGGTGATCTTTTGCAGAGGTTCTCCACTACTGGCTCTTCGGATAGCCTCAATGAGCTGAGGGAAGAGAAGGGGAGATTTGTGAGAGGGTATGGAATGGGTCAGCTCTAGTGTCCCCTTCCCTCATCCCTATCCCTGGGCTACTCACATCCTTTTCGTAGGGAAATCCTCCGTTCTCTAGCTTGGAAAAGACCAATTGCCCATTGATCTCAATCTCAAAAGCTCCTGATGGGAAGAAAGGAGGTATAGTTTGAGGGGTCAGAGGTCAGGAGTGAGGACAGACCCCAGGACCACACAACCCCATTCCACAGACATCTTGGGCTCCCAATGTATCTTGGCACCCCACCCTTGGCTTGTTTCCTCTGAGCTACCTACTTACTAAAATCAGCCTAACTCCAGGAAGAGACTCAGGCAGAAGGGTCTTGTAGTCTATATAGAGGAAGCAACTAGGGACCCCAGGTCTCCTCCCTGTGCCCTGTGCTTGTCACTAGATCTGGGTTCAAGGCCCACACTTGCTACTTACTAGATACACTAGCCTTCTGACTGTTCCAGGAGTAAGACACCATCTCTTGGCTCTAGATATCTTCTCTGGCAGTCCCCCATGCCTGGAATGCTCTCCCTCCTCCGCTCCGAATACTGACCTCCCTGGCTTCCTTTTAGTCCCAACTAAAATCCCAACTTCTATTCCCCAACCCAATTCTAGGGCCTTCTGATTTATCCTGTATATAGCTCATCTGTATATATTTGCTTGCATGTTGTCTCTCCCATTGGACTGTAAGGTCCTTGAGGGAAGGGACTGTCTTTTGCCCCACTGTATCTCCAGCACTTAACACAATGCCTGGTACATAGTAAGCACTTAATGTTTATTGAACTGAATCAGACGTATGCCTGGGAAAGATGCTTTTACTATAAGAAGCTGGAAAGGACCTTGAAGCTCAATGTCCAACCTCTTCATTTCTACAGAGGGTCAAACAGCCTCAAACAGGTTAAGTGATTTGCCCAAGGTCACAGAGTAGGGGTGGCCAGATATGAACTAAGGTCTCTAGTAGATGTAATGACCTTTTCATTATTCTTCATTGTTCTCTTTAATCACTTAATCTCTGAATCTTTATTTTCCTCATCTGTACAAGGGGGTTCAAAATCGAGCTCTCACAGGAGCTCTGTTGGGGAATCAAAGGAAGTAATGCCTGTGAAAGCACCATAATAGCTCCCAATGTCCACCTGCTAAGTGGCACAGGATTTCTGACGGGAAATAGGACTCATAGGACAAAACTGGGGATTTTGGATTTGTTGTTTTGGATTTGTCCCTGAGAACAGGGGCCTAGATTCCTTTTGGCATCTCTATGTGCTTTACATCTGGCAGGACCTTTGTAAATGCTGGCTGGATTGACTGGAATTGAGACCCCCTCTTTCCTAACACATCACTTCCCTCAGTGGGGGAGGGCAGCCCCAAGCCCTGTCCCTGCCTCTACCCCACTGTCTCCCATCCCCAGAGTCCCAAGGGCCCTCTTCCATGCCTCCTCCCCTCAATACTCCTCACCGGTGCTCCCAAGGCGTGACTCAATCTGGATGCCAGGGTACTCTTCCTTCACAGCACTGGCCAGCTCCAGGTAGGTGGACTCAAATCCACAGGGTTCACTGCAGGAGCAAGAATTTGAGAGTTTTGTTTTTTTTTTGTTTTTTTTTTGAGGGAAGAGAAGGGAAAGGAAGATAAAGGGAAGGTAAGGGACATGAAAGGAGATATGAAGAGAAAGGAGATGAAGGGAAGGGAGGGGAGGGGAAGAGAGAAGAGATGAGGGGAAAGGAGATAAAGGGAAAAGAGGGGAGAAGAGATGAGAGGAGAGAAGGGGGAAGGGAAATTTGATGGGAGGGGAAATAAAGGGAGGGGAGGGGAGGGAAGGAGAGTGGAAGGATAAAGGGAGTTAAGTAGAGTGAAGAGGATAGGAGGGATGATGAAAGGAGAGAAAGAGAAGAGGGATGAAGGGAGAGGACAGGGATGAATGGAGGGGAGGAATGAGGGAGGGGATGAAGAGAGAAGAGGGGAGGGATAACGGGAAAAGAGGGGAAGAGGTATGGGGAGAAGAGGGGTAAATAGAGAGGAGAGAGAAGAGATGAGGAGAAGGATAGTGGAACAGAAGAGGAGAAGGATAGTGGAAGAGAAGAGGAGGGATAAGGTAGATAAAGGAAAGAGAAATGAAGGGAAGGGGGGAGGGGAAAAGAAGAGGGGGAGGAGGGGGAAGAAGAGGGAGAAGGAACAGGAGAGGGAAAGGGGGAGGAAAAGCTGGAGGAAGAGGAGAGAAGAGGGATGAATGGAGAGGAGGGATGAGGGGAAAGATGTTGGGAGAAGAGGGGAGGGGAGGGATGATGTAGATAATGGAAAGGGAAATGAAGGGAAGAAGGGAGGAGAAGAAGGGAAAGGGGAAAAGAAGAGGAGGAGGAGTGGGGGAGGGAAGGAGGGAGGAAGAGCTGGAGGAGGAGGAGGAGGTGGGGGGAAGGAGGGGGGAAGGAGGAGGCAAGGGGAGGAGGGTCCCCCCTCGCGCCCCCCTCACCAGTACTCCACCACGATGCGGACCCCACTGCCGGGCAGGGGCTCCCCGGGAGGGGACTCTCCGGCGTCGGCCCCGGGCTCCGCGCTCATGGCTCCGCTGCGCTCTGCCGCGCTCCCGCCCCGGACCGAGCCGGCCAGGCAGGCACGCTGACCGGCTGAACCCGAGCCTGCAGCCCCACCGCCGCTTCCGGGTGTGACGCAGCGCCGGGACACGTCACGCGCGGCCGGTCCGGAGGCGGGGCGTCGTGGGGGCGGTGCCTGCCCGCAGACGGGTCAGGTGGGGGCGGGGCTAGACAAGGGCAGGGGCCCCGGCTCGTCTTCTGGATGGCTGGCGGGGATGCAGCGCCCTCTGCTGCGGAGAGCCGGTGCTTGGGGTGTCACTGGATCTAGGTCTGGGTCTTTAACTTTCCTTTCCCAGCGCGAAGTCCTGCAACAGTCTTCCTTTCACTGTCGGCGCCCACCGCGAGCCCTGGACTTTCCTCCTTCCGTGCCTTTGCTCACGCTGCTCTCTATAACTAAATCATCCTCCACGACCCTCCCCTGTTGAATTTCTGCTTATGCTTTATTTTTTTCCCATAGCAAAAGCAGTGAATAGAATTAATAGTAAGAAAAGTAATAATAGTAGCATTTGTACGAGATTTAAAGTGCTCTACAAACATCTCATTTAAGACTTATGGTAACTCTGGGAGGTAGGTACTATTATTATCCCCATTTTACAGATGAGGAAACTGAGGCGGGCAGAGGTTGTGACTTGCCTTGGGTCACACAGCTAGTAAGTGCCTGAGGTCACATTTGAACTTAGGTCTTCCTGGCTCCACGCATCCATCCCAACACCTAGCTTTCTCTAAAAGTAGCAACAAAACATTCTCCCATAAACCTGAACCACAATCTCTCACAAATTATGCACAGCATCAGTGTCTACCCATGTTTTAAAGGAATAGGAGATTGGTCTTGTGATTTATACAGGTGCAGGCAATACCCAGGTGAGCAAACTTCTTCTACCAGTGCAGATTGACACCTCTTTGACTTGAGTCTTAAAGATTAAGTGATTTGGGGGCAGCTAGGTGGCACAGTGGACAGGGCACCGGCCCTGGAGTCAGGAGGACCTGAGTTCAAATTCAGCCTCAGGCACTTGACACTTACTACCGGTGTGACCCTGGGCAAGTCACTTAACCCTATTGCCTAGCAAAAAAAAAAAAAAACAAACAAACAAAAAAAGATTAAGTGATTTGCCAAGGGTCACACAGCCAGTATGAAGGAAGGCCTTGAGTATAGGTCTTCTGTCTTCAAGGCTAGTTGCTTATGCCCTGTAAGTCAAGCTATGGCTCTCCATGCTTTAAAGCCCAAATCTCCTCCATAAAGCTTTCCCTGCTTCATCCGAAGCATCTTCTCCTTCAGACCTCACATAGTCGTTTGTTCTGTGCTTCTCTGATGTTCTTATTGCAAACAGTTGTTGAAGTTTGTCTCATTCCATTTTTAGCCGATGTTCCATGAGAGCAGGAACTGAGTCTTATCTAAACTTTGTTTCTTTCTGTGTCTAGTAAGATACTCTGTACAAAGTAGCAACTTAATAACTTCTTGTTGAATTGAAGTGTAACCTTGGGAAAGCATCTTAATCTCTCTGGGACTCAGTTTCCTCTTCTGTAAAATGAAGGAGTTGGACCAGACAGTTTTATGGTTCTCTGATCTTGTGAGTTGAACTCTGTGTGTGTGTGTGTGTGTGTGTGTGTGTGTGTGTGTCTAATCCATCCTGGATTCCTCCAGTTGCAGAAACAGTTTCCAATTCTTTCTCATTTGAACCTTAGAGGGTGCCAGGTCCTCCCAGCTCTCCATATCAAGATTTCCCTGGTGCTCTGTGCTGTTGTTTTTCTCCTAAGCATCATGCTCAAATTACACAGCTTAAAGAACAAGCAGTTACACTGCTGGAAAAAACAAATTCAACAAACATTTATTGAGGAGGTGGCATGGTATGGTGGAAAGAGCCCAGGAACTAGAGGCAGAGAATCTGGGTTTGAATTCTACTGCTGATGCTTTCTGCCTCCTTGGGCAAGTTACTGAACCTCCATGGGCCTCAGTTTCCTCATCTGTAAAATGAGGGGGTTGGATTAAGTGACCCCCTTCTAGCCCTAGACCTGTGCTCCAAAGAGACTTCTTACTTTATGCCAAATAGCACAAATAGCAAGAAAAGGCAGGCACTGCCCTGTCTTCAGGGAACTGACAGTATAGAAGGGGAGAGAAGATACTTAATTGAAAACACACACACACACACACACACACACACACAAAAGGAAAAGAAAACATATTGCATTTCCTTATCTGCAAAATGGGGATAATGAAGGCCTCCAAGTGCCTACATCATAGGATTTGTTTTGAAGATCAAATTAGATAATGAAAAGTGCTTTGAAAACTTTAAAATGCCCTAGCAGCGTCAGCAGTGATGACGATGATATGCAATAATTCTTACTGATATGGTAGCACTGTTCAGACAGGGCATCAATGGCCTTCAGAAGGTCTAGGGTGGCTCCTGTCAGGATGGTGATGGCTTCTTTCACAAGTCACAGTGGGGGCCACTGACTCCCTCTCTCCTTGTAATGACTCTCATTACTTTGTAATGAGGTACGGAAAATTCAGATGAGCCCTGCTAAGAAAAGGTAGGGGTGGAGTGGGTGGGAAATCAGAATTACCAGATAGCCAGCTCTAAGTGCCTTAGTCATGATAATGTTTTCATTTTGTAGAGAACACCTAGTAGGTGCTGAATTAATGCATGTTGAGCTGGATGAGGGGAATTCTGAGGGCTACTTGAATATAAATTATGTTGGGTCATAGATTTAGAGATGGAAGGGACCTCAGAAACTCTCTAGTCTAATTCCCCCATTTTTGTTGCAAGCACATAGTAGGTGCCGAATTAATACTTGTTGAGTTGAATGAGGGGGATTCTGGAGGCTAATTGGATATACACATGTTGGATCATAGATTTAGAGATGAAAAGGACCTCAGAGGCTATTTAATCCAATTCCCCCATTTTACAGATAAGGAAAGTGAGGGCCAGATGAAATGACTTGCCCAAGTAAGCCTAGACTTACTTAGCCAGTAAGTAGCACAGCCAGGATTTGAACCCTGAGTCCTCTGACCCCAAATACATTGCTTTTTCCATTTTAAACACATTGCCTCCTAAGGAGCTTATTCTTGTAAACACTTAGTTGGCAGAACCAGCATTTGTTGCATTTCCCAGATCCTGGGAAGCTCACTTCACCTGGCCCTACAATTATCATTATTACCTTCCCTTCCCACACTGGGCAATGACTCCAATTGTCATACTCTAGAGATGGCTTCTAGCATCATACCTAACTCACTTAAAGATCCTCCCCAGGGAGGCAGATGGAGCTACTGGGGGCCAGTATCCACTTTAATAGAATGTCAGAAATGGAAGGGGCCTTTGAGATCACCAAGTATTACAAGGGAACTGAGGAACCTGGATCCTGTGATTTCCAACCAGAGCTGGGAGTAGAATCCAGGGCTCTGAGGAAGGAGCAAAAAAAAAAAAAAAAAAAAAAAGCAGTTATTAAGTACATCTGTGCCAGGCATTGTGCTAAGCACTTTACAAATGTTATTTCATTTGATCTTCACAACTCTTCGAGGTAGGTGTTGTTATTACCCTCATTTTAAAACTGAGGCAGACAGAGGTTAAATGATTTGCCTGTGGTCACATAACTAAGTGTTATAGGCTAGGCTTTGAACTTAGTGCTTCCTGACTCCGGGCCCAGTGCCCTATCCACTGCACCAGGAAGAGCTGAGGTGTCCAAAATGGCTCTGGAAAGTCAAAGTGGGGCTCAAGGGCTGAATAGGCCAAGAGGGTCAGTCACCTCCTAGACATGAAACCACTTTCAGAATCTGCCCTCTGCCCCAAGGGTGGGGATGGTGGAGGGTGGCACCCATGCCCTAGACCATGTCCCTCGTTGACTGGTTGGCTGTTTAGGGGGAGGGGGAGGAACTGCATGCTCCTTCCCTCCCCCTCTTCCTGGGAGCCGAAACCTTAGGTGTCCCCCTCTAGTGTGAGTGGGAGCCGCTAGCTGCCCTGGACACCTGGGCCCCTCCCCTCTTGCCTCCCCCCACCTCCTGCGACACCTGGGTCCCAAAGGCGTGGATTAGAACAGCACAAACACTCCCCACCCTAGTGGCCAGAGGAGTATTCTCTTGTTTTCTCCTCCCTCCTTCCTCCTGGCCCCGCCTCCACCTTTCCAATCCCAGTCACTTTACCGCCTTTCCAGCCTTTCCTCCCGGTTCTACCACCTCTCTACTCCCTCCTCCCTCTACCAGCACATTTTCTGGAAAGAGAAACTCAGGAATCTGACCCTGGTGTCCTGGACCCTCAGCTGTCACCAGACAGAGCTGGACATTGGACCCCAGGCATTTGGGCCTCTCATACTGAGGCTTCCCAGGTAGGAAGACAAATATCTATCAAAGATAACAACCTCTACTCACTCTTATGCCTAGTATCTTTGTACCTGTTGTCTGTGCCAGAGCCCTTTGCAGGTGGCCATGATGTCTAGTGGGCAGTGTCATAACCCCAGCCCCGTTCCCATGATGGCAGGTAGGGATGAGGAATCTATGAAGGTTGGAGGGCTAAGGAACCTGCGAAGGTACTGGGATGGAGGTGGGTGGAGGGGAGATACAGGTGGTTAAGGGCAAAGTACATCCCTTCCCCAACGGATGGCCCCAGCCAGGTGTGTACTACCAACACTCAGGGTCCAGGTAAGGGCTAAGCTTGGCACCCTTTTCTGTCTCCTCCTTTGACATACCTGGGACCTGGGGGCGCCCTACTGCCCAGCTCCTTCCTTCTTGGTTTCTGTCCTGCCCATGGCTTCTTCTCTCACCTGTTTCTTCCCTCTCTCCATGTCGTCCCTTTGGGCTCACTGTGACTCCTTCATCTCTAAAGATTTTTTCTGTTTCTCTGTGGGGAAAAATTTGCCAGTATTTTGTCAGTTGGAGGGTGGCAGCAAAAGGGAATCTTTTCTCATTTGGGTGATTTCTGCTTCCCCTGGACAGCCTTCCCCCTTCCCTTCCTAAAAGGGAGATGGGGATGGGGGGAGGCATTAGTTGGAGGCTCAGTGTCGCAGTAAACCCCCATTCCTGTTCACCTCTGCAAGCCTACTGTGAGCTTGCCCCAATTTGGAGCCCGGATTGGGATTCCCCAAGATCTGTTTAGAAAGTGGTCTATCTGGGGTTCCTGAAAACTCCATTTGGGGGAGCAGTAAGAGGATTAGGTCACACTGAATTAGGATTGGTTTTTGGGAGAGAGGAATTAATTGTTCTTGATTTTTCCCCAACTCTCCTTTTGTTTCTCAGTGGACTGAGGTGAATGGGCTCAACACCGTTCCACACCTTTCAGCTCCCTAGTAAAATAGCTTAAATTTCAAGGATCTTGTTGACTGGGTGCTAGCTATGTCAGAGAACGGGGGTGAAGGGCATGGGGATGTCCTCCAGTGATGCCCCAGCTTCAGGGCAAGAAACTGTGGGGCTGGATGTCTGGATCCCTGCTAGAGAGACTAGAGAATGGGGCGATTAGGGTCCAAGTGCCTCATTTCCCACTGTAGGATGAAGTAGGAAAGCTCTCAGTACCCATAAAAGGATGTGGGGGTAGTTGGGGCCCATTCTTACTATAACTCATTCTCTTTATGGGGAATTTCAATTTCACTTCCCCAGTGCAGCTTCAATAAAGATTGAGGATAAGAAATCTGTTACTTTTGGACTCTGCTTCCCCCCCAAAAAAAATCAGCTTGGGGGGAGCTATCCCCCCCAAGAGTAAATAACCTATAATGATTAACCCGAATCAGATTCTGGCCACTTTTGCATATTTTCCAAATTAAACTTTAAAAGAATTTCTCCCCCTTCCAGAGACAGACTGCACCTTTGTTGTGAATTTCTTCTTGTGGGTAGTTGGACCTCAGATTCCTGGTATCTTCCTACCTGATGCAAAGGTCAGGGTAGAGGTCATCCTAGGTCTCTATATTGTTTACCAGTGACCTCCCATAGTTGTATCTCAAATATTCCCCCTTTTCTTCCCAAATCTCATTTAAAGGGAGAATCTGGAATTCTCCCCCCATGGGATAGGTTCATTCCCTACAAATGGGTACATAGGGTCTATCTCAGCGTAGGGAGAAGGGAGGACCTTCGCCAAATAACCTCTGGACCCTTTTCCATTGTCCAGTCCTACCTCTTCAATCTTTACATAATTTTTCCAGTGTTTCCCCTGCCCTACACACTACCCCCACACCTCCAGTGCCCCACTGAGAGTTTCCAAGGCTGTGATGTTTAGAGCAAGACTTAGAATATTTAATATTGTGGTGCTCCTCTCCTAGGTTTTGCTAGCCAGGTGGGGCAAGTTTCAGGAAGTAAACAAGGAGGCTGGGGACAGAAAGGGGGTGGGGAAGAGAGCTTCCGGGGAACTTAGGGTGGGAGGGGAATACTTTGAGGTGCGGAGAGCTTCGGTGGAGTACGAGCTTCTTTGGAGCACGGAAGTCTGGGGATGCCTGAGGGCAATTCCCCTATTTCGTGAACCTTTTCCCTCTATACCTCTGAAACTTTTATGTGTATTCTCCAAACCAGTTTGGTAGGTGTGGGAGGACAGACTGGCCATTCCAACTTTGTCCCTCTGGGTCTCTTCTCCTTGTCCTGTTCACCTCACATACTTTACGATTTTTCCCTCCACTGCGGTGATCCTGGCTTCCCTGTTCCACAAAGTAGGGTCTGGGACATGAAGGGAGCAGGGAGGTGGAGAGACTACATAACCAGCATTCCCGCACCCCTCACCCCTCCATCTCATCCCTGTGTCTGGTCTTCTGCCCACAGACTGGAAAGCAGTATATTGTAAGGCGGGCTAAGTCATTTATCCTCTGTCAGCCTTTGTCCACTCCCCTATTTTGGCAGAACTATCTCCTCCTTTTTACTCACGCCCTCCATAGGGGATGCCATTTAGTGCTACCCTGTGTTCAGGGACTTGGGAGGGAGGGGAGGAGTTGGGTATGTTGGAGGGCCCTAAGAGAGCTCATCCACTTCTCCTCCCAAACACATAATGAAATAAGCACACCCCTTCTTTGCCCATGATTAGACTGAAGGAAGGACCTCCTAGGGATGTTGGCTGATTGTCAACTCTCCCCCCTCATCAACAAAACTCCCTTCATTGAGTTTGGAGGATGTCTTCATCTCTTCTATGTTGTTTTGTCTGGAGTCATCTTTGTCTTAGCAACATCCCTCCTCCTTTGTCTTTTGGCTTTTTATGCTATTTCTGGGTCTTCTCTCTCTTTGTATGTCTCTAACCTTAGGAGTTCTGAACCTTTCTTGTGTCATGGATCCTTTTCACAGTCTGGTGAAGTCAATGGCCCTGTTTTCAGGAAAAGGTTTTTTTTTTTTTTAAATTGAGAGAAGTGCTCCATTTCACTTAGGAGTTAGTGAAAATAAAGATGTCATTGTTTTACCATCCAAGTCTATAGATCCTCTGAAATCCTTGGACCTCAGGGTAAGACCCTTTGGCTTTCATTTTAGGGGTGAGTTGGGGAAGCCCTGTCTCCTTGCCTCTATAGGCCCCAGGGACAGAGTTGGCAAAGGGTTATCTCAGGTCAAGCTGAGTGTAGGGGGGTGGGGTGTCCTGGGAGTGTGATGGCAGACTAGGAGGCCAGGAGATCTGTGGGGTGCGAGGGAGTCAGGTTCCCTAGGAGTGGGGTGGAGTGAGGAGGGGAGGGAAGGCTGGGCCTGACAGGGCTGGGCCAAGACAGAGTTAGAGTGGGGCATCCGAGCCTTTCTGTACACAGTGCAGGGAGCAGAGAGGACAGCATATGGAGGCACTGGGATCCCCTCCTGAAGCTGGTTGTGTTCCAGGTGGGTCTGTAGGCAGGGGGCAGCTAGGAAACCTGGAAAGCATCATTGCCCCTCACCAGGAATGGCTCTATGGGTAGTTGGAAGAGTGGGGGACTGGAGAAGGCACTAAATAGGAACCAGAAGGGGGGGCTGCTGGGTGTTTAGGGAAGCTTCAGGCCACCTCTTCCACCCTAATATACAGTTGCCCCCTGACCTTTATCTGCCCCCCACCTTGTTTTGTATGAGTTGGGGTGGGGGTGGGAGGAGCAGGTTGTTTGTGTTTCTCCAAAGCCAGGAAGTTGTGAGGATGAGTCAAGGTTGAGTGGAGAGCCCCAGGCATCTCTACCTCACCAGCCCCTCCCTGACTCACCTGCCTCTTCTGTCTCTTCTGTCTCCCTCTTCCTTCTTCCTCCCCAGATCCCAAATCCCCTCTGCTATACCCACACCCCCTCAGGACTAGCAGTGTCTATTTTTTCCTGCTCCCTGCCTTGTACCTTTCTTCACTGCCCAAGCTCAATGTCCACCACCCCACCCCCACTCCCTTGGGAGCCAAAGGAGGGGAGGGCATCTAGGAAGTCAAAATAAGTTGTTGTCATCTGTCTGTGCTACCCACAGGTGGCATTAGACAGGACTGGACTGGCTGTGCCAGTCTTTGGGGTGCCTTTTGGGCAGAACTCAGTTTTTGCTGCCCATGTTGATGATGCCAGGCAAGCAAGATGGGTACAGTGGGGGTGGCAGGGGTTGATAATCTGGTGTTGGTGTTGGTTGCTGACAGATGGCAGGATGGGTAGGTGTTCACCTTGTCAGAGCTAAGAGAGATAGAGACAGAGACAGCCAGAGTCAGCGGCAACTGGTTCAATAGACCAGGTAAGGTGGTCCACAGTCATTCTCATTTGTGTTGGGGCTAAAGGGAAGAGAATCTTCACACACAGGTAAGACATGTCCTATACTACAGCAGGCTACAGGATAGAGTGTCTTAGGGTTTCTTCTTCACTGGGGAAGGACAAATGGGTCAGGTTCCTGCCAGCCCCTCCGCCCCACCCCCTTAGCCACAAGTTCTATAGCACTCTAGGGAATTACCTACTTGGACTCAGCTGCCTATTTCACTGGGGGTTTCTTGCTTTGGTTTCACTGTGCTACCTCCCATCCCTAAATGAGGCCTCTCTTCTGAGGAATTTATCCCAATTGTCACCCTTTACCCCTCTTGCTTGTGGGCTAAACTCACCTGCCTGGTTTCCTGCTATACAGTTCTCCCCCCTCCCCCTAGTCAAATCATGAATACTGCCAGCTCCCTCCACGCACGTCACTAGCAGGTGTTGCCACAACACGCCTCTGGCATCTAGGCCCCTGCCTGGTAGCTGGAAAAGTGGCCTGCCAAAACCCAGAGTAGAGCAGGGCTAGAAGGGCCCTGAGGCCTGTGGAAGAAACCCTGCCCTCTTTGCTTTTTTGCTGTCAATCTCAGGGGTACCTCCCTACCAGGAATGGCACTGTGGGTGGGTGGGGTGGTGGTAGTGGTGAAAAAAGAGAGACTAGAGAAGGGATAAGCTAGAGTGGCCTGACCAACCCCCCTCACCTTACCCCACCC